GAAAATTTTATCCTCAACAATGTACAAATTATTAAAGATAAGAAACTTTACAACTTGAAGAAGAAACTGAATCAAATCTTGACCGATCAACAATGACAACCTTTTTATTTCTTTCAGCTCTACCTTTTATGTAATTTAACCCTTGATCTCCTGCCTGATCAGTTCTGCCGCTCCTCCCAAAGCTTCCTTTCGGGAAGCACAGATAAATCAGACAGTTCCCTAAAAACGAGTCTGGTACTTCTCCCACAGCTTCCTCTCGGGGTGCAGCCAGTGCCCTTAGAGATATGGTGACTTTCGCACGTGGTTGCGACAACCAGCAAATTTAAAAATTATGCGGTTAACCAGGTTTTTGTAAGCGAATTTGTCCTCGTCAAAGGAAACAGTCAAGTAGAAATTAATGAGTCAAGTAAAAAATGAAAGTCTCTCGTTGGTTGAACAAGAGATAGAGACATAGCCTCCAGCTAATAATTTAATAGAAAAATGATACCCAATTTAAGCCGTGTGTTCTTACAGGAGAGTTAGAAATAGCTTATCCATTATTGCTGTATTAGATCAAATCACAATAATAATTATAGAGTCAGACTGGTATTGAGCAAAAACAATTAACTGTTAAGAAAAAAGAAACGTAACAGTGACACGACCCAGTAAGCAGAGAAAGAGTTGTTTTACCTGCAGTTAAAGAACTGTAATTTAAAATTAGCAAAATAATCATTCGGCATTACTCAAAGCGTGACTTACATCGAATGTGATTCCGTAAAATCTTACCAGTTTTTGTAGAGAATAAAGTAAAGAAAGTAAAAAGAATATATCCAAATTTCACGTGTTCCAACTGAAGAAAAACAAGCAGATAGGGTCATTAAATAATCCTCACCGCCAATCTAGCTCTTGAACAGTTAGAAGTATTGAAAAAGTTATAGCCAAAGAATATAGAGACCAGAAGTCTCAAGAAAAAAGAAGATGAATACATTATAGTAATAGAAGAACCAGTCAGTCTGTTAGGGAAGAAGCAAACTGTAACTGGTTTGCCGCAAACCTCAAGTTAAGCTATTTTAAGGAAAAGAATAATGTGTTTTCTACCCTTCCTAAACGTTAGATTTTGAAAAAAAAATGCTGCCAACTTTGTAACAGAAAAACATAAAAACGTCAATGGCACGTTCCGTTCGATCTAGGAAGAAGATATAGCAACAGAAATTTAGCAGTTGGAAAACTTCCTTGTCAGTTGCAAACAAAAGCGGCATTTTTAAGAACTGAATAATCATCAAAGAAAAGAGAGGAGTCAACACGTTCAAGGAATAATTAAGCTTAATTAAACTTGAAAAATCACAAGTTGTAAGTTTCCCTACAATAAATTACTGTAAAGAATTGAGATGGAATTTCCTGTATTTTGTTCTACGAAAAAGAGTTTAATTTGGTTGGTCACAGAAAAAGCTCACTGTCAGGCAGTACTCCTTGTTGCCTACAGCACACTGAGAAAAGTAAGAAAAAAAATCGTTGAGTAACTAAAGGTGCAAGAGTAAAAATTTTTATCGGAGTACTATATTTGCCGACTTTTCCAAGAGGAACGTTACAGACTTTCAAAGGTGCTAAGCTTACCAACTTTTGAACGCAAAAAAACAAGACCATCTAATGTGACCAGAACTAATTATTTTACACCTGTTGAATCATAGCAAGAGAATAAAAGCAAAAAATTGTTGAAGTGATGTCTTGGGTCTTCACTTGTTCAGTGATAAGAGTCATACATCGTATAATAACTTATTATTTCACAAAAAAAAGCTTCTTTAACAGCTCACTAATACTTATTGCGAGGACTATCTTTATAAGTGTATTAGGTGAATAGTGTTTAACTCAGTGCCACAGAGTAACGGTTACTGATGTTAACTTGGCACAACTACGGTAAAGTATAGTAGCAGGCAAAGGAGATTACGCGTCCAGCATCGGATAAGGTGTTGATTAAAAGCTCTTTAGTTTTACACTTCTTGATAAGACAAATTTTACAAAAGGATGACGCAAATGACTAAATCTGCTCTAATAGAAACTATTCAGCGAAAAATAGTAATTCGTGAAGATCATAATACGCTGCTCTTTGGCAGTGGAACGGCTGTAAACTTTCTTGCATTACCCTATCTCTGCGACGAGGGTAGTTCAAAAATTTCAAGATTGACGATTCTACGCTTCCTAAGAGCTCCACAGAAATATTTTGCTTAAAATCTTGAAATGTTTAGCTGAAATATCTATTTGCAAGTCTGGAAGAAAATGCTAAATTTCTGTCACATTGCCAGCTAAATCTCTATACGCTTTTTTAAAATTTTATCGTTTCATTAGATGTTTTTCGTGTATACTGCTTTTATACCATTCGGAAAAAAATTTTTTTTTACTAAAGCCTCTGTAGTGTTTGTTTTTGCTGGAATTGCTATCTTCTAATTTTGTGATTGTTAAAGTGAGACTTCACGTTGAGAAAATAAACACTTTTAATACTCTCTGTTTTCTTTTCCTTCCGTTGTTACTTACAACTTCTTCCCACTGTTCTACAAATTTTCTGGAACCTCAGCAGTGGAAGCCATCCAGTTTTGACTTGAGAAACTCATCCAACAAAGTTCTCAATTTTGCATCAGTACTGAATTAAACTTAGCGCATAACAATTCCAAGCAGTTATGAAAGGTGGAAATTTACTGATGCTAAATGGAAGGAAGTGTCGAAAACGCTCAGTTATTTAACCTGAAACTCAATTTTAATGACACAAAAACTGATGACAATTAACTTCAGTAAAAAACTGAGTCCGTTAGTGCAAAGAATCGTCTTTTGAAAGATGGAAAAATGATGAGCCCAAAAAATTTCGTGACTTGTGGAATTTCAAGATTGAAAAAACTTCGGGAACTTAGTTGTCGATTTTGTAAAAGAAAGTCTGAAGGCCAACAGCTACTATTGAGACTAGTCTTAGAAGAAATATACGCTTAGATTATGGAAAAGCAAGAAAGTTTTTACGTCAGTTTCGGGTAATGTCAGCGGAGGCTTTCAGAATAGGTGACATCGCTCTAACAAAGGACAGTAATTTGACAGAAAACGAATGTTGAATATTGGATATTTAATGAATTTTAGAGTAAACAAAAAATGAATATATAAAATTAGCAGAACTGCTACTGCATAATGGAGAGACAGCAGAGCGTCCTGTTAATCAGTCATATCCAGTTGAGCTCTGCAATAATTTTCTTTATATTTCAGGAAATTTACTAATTCATTCATCAAATAAACAAGGCTGTTCAATTGTAATAGCAATTTCCATTAGTACGGTTGCTGTTAAGTCACTGGGAGATCAAAATTTTCCAGCTTTAACACAACCATTTTACAAAGATTAATGTATGACACCTCAATCCAACTTTTGACAGCAAATTTCCTGACAGCAGTTTCTCTTTCTTTTACAGAAGATGAAAACATTTCTGAGAGACCTTCAAGAACAGTAATTGTGTCTAGAGCTTTTGTGAATGGTAGGTTGTGTCTTGTGGTGTTTCCATGAAATCTAGAGAGGTTTTGACAAGTACTACATGCATTTAACTTTTCCATCATATGGCAAAAGAAATCTTTTGAGTATCACAAACATGCCGTGTTTGTACCGATCAACTATGGGAGTTCGGACGAACAAATACAGAAACTACCTTTAACACATTGACAGCCACTGTCATACGCGCCAAATGTAGTTTCCAGCCTAATACCAATTAATACAAAACGCTTTTTCGGATGAGCGCATTGAGAGGCACATAAGGAGAAGAAAAAGCAAAATATTGCAATAAATTTGGCTTGCAGTTCTCAGAATTGGCCCACCAGCTGCCGTTCTTCTTAGCTTTCCACGCGAGACAAGGGATAGGGAAATGGGAAGGGTAAGATGGTTTTTACTAGCGGAATGAGATGCATCAGGAACTCTATAGGCCACTACTGATCGAAACGTGCAATCAACCTGGCAGCTACGAGCCATCCAAAGGTCCATCATATAATCTTGGGGACAAATGCTGTCAACCTTTGAACTTTGTCGGTTCAAATGGCTGATTCGCTGAAGGGACGAACTTTACATAGTTCGCTACAAACAGCCGGTTATTGCCTTCTCATATCGTTGCTGGTCAAATCCTATTAGCGAACCGTTCAGGACCTTTTTTATCCCTGGCTGTTATTCGTTTCTGCATCACGTTCAGCTGTCTTAACGGTCTACGGACCTGAGATTCAGTTTCCTTTGATTGGTGATAAGTAGAATTGAAATTAATTACAAAAATATGATTAATTGTTCCGACTAAAGAAATACGATTATGAAGAGATTTCTATTGATTTGTTGTTGATCAAAGTTTTTAAAAGCTGTGTATTTACAAGCGGAATGGGATGTCATTCTCTTATTGGTACATTTACGGGAAAGGAACTTGATGTGGTATTGGCAGCTTATATGCACTATCTTTCGAAGCTGTGGTTGTTCGGCGTTTTGTAGATACTAAGTAGTATCTGCTGAACACCTGCAGAACGATTGTCGCGTTTTGTTGAAGGCATGCTCTCCGCACAGTTTCGTGCATTTTTTGATCTCCTCATTGCTTAGTTCTTCTAACTTAATTTTTTATGCGGTTATTGTAAAGTTTTTGATGCGTCCTCCTTCTTTGATTCGTTTTTAGTTTGTTCTTAGTTTCTATAAAAAATCTTCAGAGTTCTCCCACTTGGGTTCCTATCAAGACTTTAGTTGGAATTTGAAAGGGAGCATTTATATTAAGAGTCTGCTTCACTGATGGTTAAAACGTAACTTTTGTCTCTTTTTTTTGCTTTTTCAAACTTTACGATTTATATTGGTGTCTTTGTTGTTGGTTACGTGGTTGTTGAGCGCTTACACATATATTATAACTTTGTAAACTTATAGGTTGGAATTGCTGAAGCTAGGTTTATCCTACCCATTAAAATGACGGAGAAAGGTATATTTTACTTTGATTAATTTTTTTGTTTATTTTTAAAGCCAAATTGGAGAAAAGTAGGGGGTTTTGCTTATTTCCATTGACCTTGTATCGTGCGAGAGACGCACCGTTATAATATATTTGGCTCATAGCTGTTGGAACCCTGTAGAAGCGGTATTTTTTTTGCCTTTTCAAAACTTTTCCTCACCGTTTTTGAATGGTATTTTTTAGTCTATGGAGGTTGCGAAGGACCTGATGCTGCTTATGTTAAGCTGATTAGTAGTGATGGCCACGAGTTCATAATCAAGAAGAACCTGGCATTAACATCCGGTACTATTAAAGCAATGCTTTCTGGTCCAGGCGCATATGCAGAAAACGAGTCAAATGAAGTTAACTTTCGAGAAATTCCGTTAGTTTCGTATTTGTTTGCTTGTTTCATATTTTCAACTGTTTCTGGTAGTAAGAGAAGCTTAGTTACAGATGAGAAAAAAAAACAGGCGGTTATCTTGTTTTGGTTTTCAATTTTTTTCTTCTTTCTTTTTAAAAGGGTAAGAAATGTGAGCAGGGTAAACCTCAGAAGGATTAACTTATTGCTTTATTCGCCATTTGGGTTGTTTTGCCCATTGCAAGAATATATGTAGTTGTTTCTTAGGTAAAGAGTTTCATAGATTGTTTGAATTTTTTTGATAGCGCCGTTTTATTTAGTGCTCTAGCACGCTGCTTAGCTGTTCGTAGGTGCGCCAAAACCACTCAAAAATTCGTCTTGCTGAGAGCAAAAATTTTTTTCTCTGCGGTAATGGCTTTCTGACCTCATTCACCACTTGCTTTTGACCACCAAAATATTTATTTAAATATTTATTTGGAGTAAAAACTCACAATTTTTTTTCATCTCATCCGAGAGTATTGAGGTATATAATGTCAAGCCGTTCATTTCTGCATTGACGAAAGCATAAGATTCTGTGGAAGTTTTAGAGTTCAAAAATTACTTCTCTCCATTAAAGTTTTTGATTTTGACAGAGTCTTGGGTTACTCTCTTACATTTACTTCTCTGTACATCACTTCAGTATTTAAAACTTCTTAATGTCAGAATCAGTGCTGTAGCTTCTGTTTTTGAAAGTTGTTCCTTAATTTTAATGACCACAGAAGTCGTAAACACTATGAAATTTTTTGTTTTCAGTTCCCATGTCTTACAAAAGGTGTGCCAGTATTTCGCGTATAAAGTACGATTTACAAACAGTGCAACTGAAATTCCTGAGTTTCATATAGCACCGGAGGTGGCGCTGGAATTGCTAATGGCTGCAAACTTCCTTGATTGCTGAATTGTATATTTTCTACACTTCTTCATCTAATTCTGAATAACTTGCTCAGTGAGCAAATGCAAATGTTTAATTACCCGTTCTTCTTTGTTCAGGTCATGGCGCGCATACGTTCATCCAAAAACCGCGATCTGTAGCCTTTGTCTCTTCCACTTTGCTTAAATGAGGTAGGGGGGTAAAATGCCAACCACTGCGTGAAAGTAGTTCCCCTTAGCGCTCTCCAAGGGCTGGTAAGCTAACAGCTCTGGGACCTGGACAACGAACAAAATGAGCGCAGCCGAGCTAAGCCATACTGCTCAGAGCCTAACCCAAGCCCCCTGAAAGCGTATGTACGTTGCGTCTCCATTAAATTGATACCGTCTTACAGCCAGTCGGGAACTTTTAAGTAGGGAAACTTTCATTAACCTGCCGTATCTTCTACTGGGTTGTTTAGTAACACATTATTAGTCAGGATCCACTCTGCGCAGGACTGCCAGTAACGGGTTTTCAAATGATGTAAAATAAAGATGTGCTGTGCAAAAGCTCAAGATCATTTTTTGCCGTTTATTTCTTGCTTTTCATTATACACAAAGGCGAGATTGAAACACTGTCCCAGTCTTAGATGGATAGCGCTCATGATGTAGAAGTAGATGAAAGCACACACATAACTGGCGCTCATTTAGTTGAAAGCCAACGAAGAAAACATGGAATTGAAACAAGGTTTTGAAGTGGTGTATTTACGTAAGCATCGTAGGTGGACAATTCTGAGCGACGCCAAAAAGCACATTTCCAAGCAAGATTTGAAACAGTTTTTTGGAACAATTGAGAACGTCAATATGTTCAAATAGTAGCACAACAACTTGGAATCTTTCGAAAAAAATTTTAACTGGACCGACTAAAAAGGTTTAAAAACGAAAATGTAATGCACCGCGTTTTAGGAAATTTTGACTTCACAGAATCAGCCGTCTCTAAAATAAAATGCTACATTTATAGGCAGCAGTTTAAAATGAAGATTACAAGAATTCTTCATGCAAAAACCGATCCATCATATTAAATATGTTCACTAATTGGCGCCCATCTGACTCTTTCTTTCACCTGAAAATAAATGCACAACTTTCACCATGCAAAGACATCACAGGCCTTGAATTATCTAGATTTTTTCTGTTGTGTCGCTTTGGAGTCCACCAGCCAAGCACTGTCTTTAAAGTTAGGCAAACTAAAACTATGACGGTTGGAAGCAGAGACAATCAGGGCTGTGCGGTTCAAAACACCTCCGATGACCCATATGGACTGCAGGTGGTATTGGAACATGGGACTAATTTGAAACCTCGAGACGCCGCTACATAGTGCGCACTCCATCACAATTTGAAAGGTAAAATAATCAACATTGGGAAGGATAATAAATAAAATCAGGGAAGTACCGTTCCAACTTATATCTATTATCAAATTATACGGACACATTCTGCTTGCAAAAGGAAAAAGAAATAAACTTTGTTACACAGACAACGTAAACCAAGTATTCAACAAAAATCAAGCACAAAAACTTGATGAACAATTTAGCCGCACCGTCTTAGAACAGAGGAATGATTCGGATAAGATGATGATTAGATGCTGATGCTAATTTCACTGGACCAAATGGTAAAAATGTGAAACTAACCTCAACGCTAAACTCATATTAGTAGGCAAGACGAAGACCTAAAACAATCACACAACCCTTTTCAAGAACTTTGGAATTAGTATCCCAACAAAACTATAAAGATAAGGGCTTGAAGATGACCATGTTTGTAGAAATACCGAAGTGAATGGAATATAAATAAATTAAGCTCATACTATAAGGAAACCTTTGAAAACCAGGACTGGGGTAAGTTAAATTAAATTTTTGACAAAATGATGAATAGGTCCAGACCAATGGAATGAAAGTAAAACCAGTAAATTGATTAAATACGGAGGAACACCTAGGAATGAAGACCGCACAAAGTTATGGACAAAATTTAAGTCAGGAAATTAAAAATGACATTTAAAATCTTCATTGATAGCTTCCCGAGAAGCTGTTGAAAGCTTAACTAAGTGACTTTGAGAACCAACAAGGATAAGCAAAGTAGTTTGGTAAAAATGAGACTAAAAGGACTCCTTCGGCTCACAATTTGAACAGTTCTTTTTAAACCGATAGAAGGGAAATTGGCTTCAATGGCGAAAGTATCGCGAAAACTCGTAAAAACGGCTAGCAAAGGAAACTGATCAACGACATACAGGTGCTGTAGAATCAATAACCCGCTTCAGTGAGATACTGTGCCAGCTTTTCAACGGCCACACGAGCTTCTGCAGCGTTTTCTCCTTCATAGCAAGCAATAAGAACAGCTGAAATTGCAGTTGTTGAACATAGCACAAAAAATAACAATCTAGTAAAATTCTTCTGCACATTTTAATGTAGACTCTCACCTGATTTCGTTTTGGAAGCAAAAAATCCAGTCTTATCCTTCTTACCAAAGATGAGGTTATCTTCCGTTCGTGGCACGATGTAATGAATACCTGTAATTAGTGCCTACAGCAGAATTCCCTCACGTAGAACACCATTTTACTACTTGTCTCAGCCACCCTGTCAGAATGGTTAAAATGTAGAGAAAGTAAAAATAACCTTCCAGCTCGCAACCCTTGCCAGGCACTTCATGGATCTTTTCGAACAGAGCAACAAATTTCTTTATTTCTGCTTCACTTGCCTTAAAAGAGAGATTCAAATTAAAGAAACTCATCGAATAGGTCTAACCTGCCCCAATAAAAGGATGAGCAGAACAAAAAATAACCCTTCAATATTTGTTTCACTTATAAACCTCAAAAAAAAAAAAAAAAAAAA